AAAAAAAAGAAAGCTATACAGATTTGGAAGGACAAGAGGGTGAGTAAATGACGCCAGAATTTTTATTTTTGGATACATTAATCCTTCAAGTCAAGAAAACCCCTATTATCACGAAGGCTTTTCTTAACTTGAGGGTGTTATAATTAATTTAGATGACATTAGAGCTTGCACAATTACATGCATGCTCTGAAACATGAGCTTTAAAATGAAAGTGACGTACGTGTGAATCATCCTGGTAGTTCTCATCAGAGACCTAACCTACCAAAAACATTTAACATGCAACACTGTCAACAATTAATGATATTTTTAGCACCATATGTCCTGAGGAATCTTTTCACATAGTTATAAATTAAAAAATAAGGTAGCAAATAAAATATATTTTTTATATATAGCCTACACAAACAGATGATGCCAATTAAATTTATTTATACAATGAATATGAAAAGTTCATGATGTATTATTCATCTGATAAAGGTCTCAGATTTCAGACTATGTGTCCGACACAAGATACCTAATGTGAACACTTTATTCCACAGAATAAAGACTAAAACAGACATCTCAGGTCAAATATTCACTAAAGTTCAGTAATATTACATTTATATTTACTGATTTAACAATGATTATATAATGTATTTGTATTGAGGGGAGTGTTTTATTATGGTTATTGACCCAATAATAATACAATAAACATCATAAATACTGATGTTTACTGTACAGTTTAATCAGTAATTTATATTACAGTCAAGTAAGTATTTTTCTGTACACTTTATTCTGATTTTTGCATGTTCATATCTGAATATGTTGATATTTTGAGCAGAATGTAGTTTCAATGTTCCTAAATAACAGAGAAACATAGACTTGTGGTTTACCTACATGTACTTTTATGTTGGCTCCGTGTAGGAGCACACCTGATGCACAATATGAACACAACATCTACCTCTACGCAAACCCTGTGCAAGCATGCAACTATCTGCATAATATCCTAGTTGTATGAAAAATT